CCCATCCATCTACCCAGGCATCCATTTGTACATCTACCACCCATCCACCTATCCATTTTCCCATCTAGCTTAGATAAGCAGCTAGACCTTCCAGTCATTTATCCGCCCACCATTAATCCAGTGGTTCTCAACCTTCCTAACACAGGGACCCTTTAATACAGTTCCTCACATTGTAGTGGCCCCCAACCCTAAAATTACTTTTGTTGCTACATGATAGTTTTGCTACCGTTGTGAATCAAAATGTAAATATTTTTGGAGATAGAGTTTTATCAAAAGAGGTTGAGAACCACTGCATCCATCCATCCATCTGTCCATCTATCCATCCTTCCTTCCACTCATCAACACATCCATCAAGGTACTGTCCTATACTTCCAGCTAGTCAGCACTCTTCCCTCCCTTAGAGTAGCAAGATCCACACCATATACTTAAGACCATGGCTCTGGGTCAGAGCCCTCTAGGTTCTGACCCTTAGGCAAAGACTTTGCCATTTTGGACCTCTAATTCATAGCCACAAAAGTGAGGTATCTGAGCCACACAAGGGGGACTTAGTAAGGGGAAGTTGTTCTTGTTTTAGGATAGTCACCTCCGACCCTCAGGAAGTGAGGCGCTTGCTGAGGTGTGGTGAGGCCTGACCCAGGCTCGGGTGCCTGGCTTCCAGGAAGCGTTGGCAGCCTCTGCGCCCTTGCCTCCTTTGCCCGCTTTGTCTTCCCGGGCTACTCCGTCACCTGCCTCAGAGTGTCAGGGCACCACAGTCTCCCGTTGTCAGCACCAACACCTTGCACTTACACACTCTTCTCTTTCACTCGTTCCCACTCCTCTTGACTTTCACAAAACTTCTGAGTTCCGTCTGCCCCGCTGATGACCGGAGTTTGGGAGACACTTAGTTATATAGAGTATTAAAAACCAGAATTTTTTTGGCTATCTTGACTCATCTTGACCCCATGCCTGAAGAGCGCTACATTAAAAAAAAATTCTTCTATTAAAAAAATGAATAGCGGGGGGGGGCATTTCCAGCCTCAGCAAGCAACTGAAAATCACTACAGAGGTCATAAAAGTCCCGTTTGGCTCACACTCCTGGGAAAGCTGGGCAAAGCTTTTGAATTTACACATGTGACCTTATTTAGGCCGTTTTGCTGTTGTCTGAGGTCCTGACAGCTAGCAGGGCTTCCCTGAAGGCTTGCAGTGTGGGATTTCTCGTCCCCTTGCCAGGCCCATGCCTCTCCTATCAGCCTGGATCCGTGACAGGGAAAGGACCCCTCCTTACCCTTGATGGGTCGTGCAAGTCAATCCTGAGAGGTCTGGTGCCCAGGCCTCTGCTGTGGACTGAGTCTGGCCACAGGTCAGCCTTATAAAGTGGCCACAGTCCAAGCGGGGACCCGGACAGGGAAGGGCTGTGCAATTATGACAGACTAGAATTATAAGACCGGAATTCAGATTTTCTCTACACACCTGAGCATTGAGCCCCAAAACCACAAGAGTCTGTGGTTTGCGGCTAATTCCAAGAAGTGTGTTCAGCCCCGGATGGTGTTACATGAGCTGGGGTTTATCACCATTATCTGGGTACATTCCTGGAGATCCCAGAGAGGCCTTCAGGTGAGCACGTCTGGGTTCTAGATCCCAAGGCAGGTATTGCCCATTCCAGGTGGCCTGGTGGGTAGGTTGGACCTGCTCAGCCTCACAGGACTGAGATTCACTCTGTGTGACCCCGTCCTCTCCAAGTTTGTATTATTTCCATGGGGCAAATGGAGGAAAAACATGCCTCACGAGGCTGATTTGGGAACTCTGGGAGGTCGGTATGGCTCCAACTGTTCAGATGCGGGGTAGCTCATAGGTAGGATGTTTTAGATCTACAGAAGATCCCCCTACCCAAGTATTTCACCGTGAGAAAAAAATCATACGTACAGCAAAGCTGAGGGAGGCCCCCAGTGGACACCACACACCTGCCAGTGCTCATCAGTGTCACCACTGAGCTCTGTCACATTTTTATACAACCACAGAGCCACCTTTTCTTTTCATGAGTATTTTACTTTTTATATGTTGAGACAAAGTCTCCTGTATCCCAAGCTGGCCTCAGATTAACCATAGAGCTGAGGAACCTCCTGTATCCATCTCCCGGGAACTACAGTCAGTCGCCACCATATTTGGTCTGTGTGATGCTGTAGATTCAGTCCAAGACTTTCTGTATAATGCTAGTGAGCCCTGAGCAGTTGAGTTCTGTCCTCAGTCCTGTTTTTATATATTTCAAAGTGAGGTGCAGACAGCAGGTATGACACCACTACCCACTTTCACACACAGGCCACAGTTTTTTTATATAAATTCCCATACAGTGAAAGCTTCGAGCCTGTGATGATTTTATACAACCACGTAGCCTGCATCTTAGCACGCTATACAACATTGCCTTCCCCCAAAGTCCCCTCTTTCCTTTCTCCAGTCACTCCTTACTCTCCTAGAGGCACCCATCGATGACTCTCCTGCCCAGGCTCCCTTTGACATACGAGACACTCCACACTCCCACCCCTGTCGGCTCATCATGCTCCTCCCTTCCTTGTTACCCTCATTCTTCTTACCTCTGGGCCATTGCACGTGCCAGCCCTGATGTCCACCATGCGTTTTATTACCCCTCTGGACCACTCAGCAATCCCTGTGCCCCATCTGAGACATGAATTCTCCAGGAAAACCAGGAGTGTGCCCAGCGCTCAGCCCAGCACAGCACAGTAAACAGTGTCACACACAAATGGTGGCTCAGTCTCCACTGATCCGGACACTCACTGAGGCCACCTGCTCCACACACTCAGCCCCAGGCCAGGTCCTGTTCCACATATACTTGCTGCCACCTCCTCCAGGCCACAACCCTCCTGTGAGAGGCCAGGGGGTTCGTTCTCCTGCCAAGGCCAGCCTCAGGCCTTCATTGCCAGCCCCCACCAAGCGATGCTTCCTGCCCCTCCCGAGCAGCAAAGAGACTCAGAAGGCATGTGGCATAGATTCGAATCCTGACAAGCTTGGCTTGTGTCACCACAGCAAAGCCTGTTTTCCTGGTCAGGCGGCTTTTCAGGACTCAGTTTCCCCATCTACAGCAGGGGCATTAATGGAATTGCTAAAGACGCAGTCCAGGCATGAGTTATGCTACCATCTTTCTGCCTGCTTAAACTGAATTGGTGATGAAATCCGTCCTGGGCCACGAAACTGAAGACAGGACCTGGCATGCAATGCTTCTAGGAACAGAGCTTTCTGGCTTCATCCTCTAGGGTCCTTGCAGGCTCCACAAGGCCACACGGAGCATGAAGAAGAAATCCCAGGCGAGCTGTCTAAATCCCATGAGGGCCAGAAGGGCTCTGGAGTTGGAGTTCCCCCTTAACCAGAATGACTTTCTCTTCCCTTCAGTGAAGAGTGTGGGAGGTCGGGTAGGAAATATCTGGACCACGCCTGAAGCCCCAGAAGACCACAATCCCTCGTGGCCCCCTGAGTGAGAGCAACTGCCCTGTGTGGAGTACTGGGTTCTACCCAACTCGCTCTGGTTACCAATTTGGACCACACCTTCCCTTCCCTATGCTTCTGCCTGCACCTCTGTGCCATGGAGACACGAGGAGTGGCATTTGCAGTTGATGGTCCCATCTATGTCACTGGGCCTCCACTGTGTAAAATCCGACTCTCTACTGCCTGGCACCAAGGGACTGTGCCCCAGATGCTAGATAAGTGAACATATCTTCCACCACTTAAACTGAAGTAAAATCCAAGAATTCAAATATCTTTTTCTTCACCCGAGGAAGCAGAAGCCCATGTGACCTGCTGAGGGCCAAGCGTGGTGGCTGCCTTGGGGTGGTTTTGTCTCTCCTCCAGGCTCACTTACTGCCTGAGGCCAGCCCAGCCACAGAGGCTCTGAGGCTGGCCTGTCTCCTGGGGTCACCTTGACCATCCTGGAAGGATTAGTGCGGTGGAGACGCCAGGGAGATCACATGGACTTAGTGTCCAAAGGGCCCTTTGTCTAGAGCTACGCCACGAAGCGAGCACGGCGGAAGGAAGGGCATCCAGATCTCCCAGGAGGCGACTCACCCTGAAAGTTACCCAGCCATCAAGGGAGCCAAGTGTGTGCATGTGTGCTGGGTCACTCTGTTGAGACAGAAAACAGCCCCGGCTCCACCATGGCCTCCTCCCTTCAGCACTGGCCCCTTTGTGAATGGTCAGTTCACTAGGGCTGCCCATAGGGGGCACTCTTCACACCGTGTCCTATCCCCTAGACTAAAGGTGGAAGTTCAGAGCCAGGGAAGAGAGACTCTGAGTTCAAATCTTGACCTGTGTAGCCTTAGCTTGTCACTTAAAATCCCTGTGCCTCGGTTTCCTGTACAATTACTAGAAAGCAGGGCTAATCCAAGAAGTTGAGCATAAGAATGCAAAAGCACATTGGACTGTGCCTAGACCTGTGTGTGTGTGTGTGTGTGTGTGTGTGTGTGTGTGTGTGTGTGTGTGTGTGTGACAACAGCATCACAATGTCACAGGGTCACAGTTTACAGCCCAGGGTCAACAGGATCTTGTTTGAGTTGCAAACTTCCTGCTTCTGCCACTTAGGAGCTATCTGATATCAATTCTCAGAGCCTCCCTTACCCAATTGAAAACCAGGATGTGTTGGGGAAGTCCTGTTATTTGTCAATAAAGTACTGTTGAGCCTATAGAAAACCTAGATAGGAGGGACTAGGAGTCGAGGAGGATTCTGGGAAAGAGAAAGACAAGAGAGTTCGAGATGTAACCGCCATTGGGGTAGGAAGCCTGGAAACCTCTCCGGTAAGAGACATACTTAGATTAACAATTATGGGGTAATTACTTAAGTCAGAGCTAGCCAGTTAGAAACAAGCAAGGCCAACAGCTTCATAATGAATATAGCCTCCTGTGTGTTTATTTGGGACTGATGCGGCTCTAGAACCAGGCTGGAGCGGCAGAGCCCAGGCGACTGGCGGGGGATAAACCAAAGCGGCTAGCAAAAGAAAAAGCTTCACTTAACAAGGATGTGTAGCATCAGTTTTTCCATTACTCTGACAAAACACCTGAGGAAAACAATTTAAAGGAAAAGACATTCTTTTAGCTCAGAGGTCTCAGTCTGTGATCAACTGGCTCCATTGTTTGAGGCTACGGTGAAAGGACATGGAGAAGGAAATTGCTCACCCCATGCCACCATAGTGCCCTCTCTCTGGGGGTAGAGCTGAGTCCCGTGGAGACATGTCTTACTTAAACCACAGCAGCATGGAACCCCCACTCAGTCTGGGCCCTGTGGGGTTCAGTGTCCAGTAGGGTGGTAAGTGGACTCCGTCACTGACTTTGGGGAACTCTCGTCAAGTGTGATAATTAGGTCAGGTATCTTGATGTGGACACTAAGGGCTCCAATGGTGGGGACAGGGGTCCTGGCCTGACTCAGACAGAAGCTCCAGGAAGGGGCAGTCATGTGAAGGCCTGACCAGGTAGCTACTCACCCACACATGTCAGGCCCTCTTCCTAGCACCTGACGAGGCCTGACTTTAGCCCTCTGATGAACTGGATAAGAAACACGACTTCCTTGTGCCACAGACAAGCACCTGCTGTGGTCTGGATCCGCTCCATGTGTGATGTGGCACGTGGGGGGGGGAGAGGTGCCGGCTCCAGCCTCACGCACAGGTGAGTACCACTCCAGCAGACAAGTGTGGGAATGGTTCCTAGAGAAAGGGTCCTCTCCTCCCTCTCTCTCTCTCTCTCTCTCTCTCTCTCTCTCTCTCTCTCTCTCTCTCTCTCTCTCTCTCTCTCTCTCTCTCTCTCTCTCTCTCTCTCTCTCTCTCCTCTCTCTCTCTCCTCTCTCTCTCTCCCTCTCTCTCTCCCTCTCTCTCTCCTCCCCCTCTCTCTCTCTCCTCTCTCTCTCTCCTCTCTCTCTCTCCCTCTGTCTCTCTCCTCCCTCTCTCTCTCTCTCTCTCTCTCTCTCTCTCTCCCTCTCTCTCTCTCTCTCTCTCTCTCTCTCTCTCTCTCTCTCTCTCTCTCTCTCTCTCTCTCCTCTCTCTCTCTCCTCCCCCCTCTCTCTCTCCTCTCTCTCTCCTCTCTCTCTCTCTCCTCTCTCTCTCTCCTCCCCCCTCTCTCTCTCCTCTCCCTCCTTCCCACCTTCTCTATCTCCCTCTTCCTTTTTCTCTCCCTCTTCATCTCTTTCCTGCCTTGGGCTTTCTGTCTGGCATTATGGGATGGCACATCAAGAAGAATCCCAGCAGACAACAGCCCCTCCATCTTGGACGTCCTGTCCTCTAGAATGGTGAGCCAGTAAATTCTTGATCCTTGTAAGCCAGTCGGTCTTAGACATCCTGTTTCAGTTCATCAGCACCTATGGGAATATGAGGTGTCTGAGCCCCTTTAGCTGCAGACGGCGGCTGCCTGGACCACAGAGCAGGAGCTTGGACAGCTTCTCACCATGTACATTGGGCGATGCCTGAAAGATCAGTAAGGCTATTTTGCTAATCTTTTGTTGTTGTTGTTTAGTGACGAATTTGTTTGAGCAATGAACCCTAGGGGAGCCCCATCCCAGATGTGAGCAGTGCAGCCATTCCATAGGCTGGAGGTCCAGGGAGCAGAACAGAAAGGAGGAGGAAGGAATTCCTGACACACCCCCAGCACCATGATGTCTGCCACAGATGCAGTCCATAGCCGTGAAGCCAGCCTGCCACAGACTGAAACCTTCAAAAGCTTGAGCCCAAATAAACCCTATAAACTGTCTCCTGTAGAGATGTCACATGGTGAATGAAGCTGACCACTTCATGTGTCAAGAGCATTTGGCAGTGCTCTCTTTTTATGGGGACAACCCTATCCTCTCCTTGGTCAATGGGCATCTCTCCAGGGTAGGGCAAGCCTCACTCAACCTTGTTTCATGGAGTTCTAGCTCCTTTTCTGCTATTCATCCCTCAAAATCCAGCTCATATACCCTTCTGAGAAGTGTTCAAAACTCAGAGATACCAGTTCTGGAGGATGGAGAGTGACGATTGGATCACAGAGAGAGGAAAAGTCAGGAAGACATGACAAGGACCAGCTGCTGCCCAGGCCAGCCAGGTGAGTTGGGAAGCAGCACTCTGGGTCCCCTCATCTCTTAATGGTTCCTGCTTAGAATGAGGGAGGTCATTGGAGACCAAGACCTACGCTGTTCCTGCATCATTAGGGAATGAACCAGCAGGCAGGCACAAGACCAAGGACCAATTTATTGAAGCTGGGACTGAACCCAGGTGCTGTGTGCTTTCTGAAGTGGACCTGTGGCTTCCCAGCGGTTCCCTACTCCTAAATAATCAGAGCAACAGGGACAGAGGTCAGGTGGGCCCGGTTGGACAGGGGGCACTTATACTGTCACCAAGCAGGCTAGAGACTGGGAGGGAAACTGAGTGCAGACAGACAGGACTCTGAAGTGAACAGGAAGAGCAGTAGCCATACTGCCTCACGGCGCCACGGTCAGCACAACAGCATTCTGCAAGAACAGGGATTCTCAGTTAGGTCTCCAAGCCTGGGCCCTGCATATCCACCTCACCTCATGCCTGGCTGCCTGCTCTGAGACCCAGCATTAAATGAGGGGTGAGCAGGTGACCATGTCTGGTATGGGTCAGGTGGTTGCTGACTCAGACTTAAGTTCAATGGCCGTTTTTACGAATAACACACTGAACAACCATGACACCCTGGGCTTTCATCCTCAACTTTAAAATTAGTGCAGAGACCCTGTTCTTCTTATTTCTTAGCCTGTCCCAAGGCTCAGAAATGCGCTGATTTGAAGAGGAGGCCAAAAAAAGTGTGTTGAGGGAATGTCATAATCCATTAGTCATGCCTGCCATGGGCACAAGAGGAGGGAAGGTCGTAACAAGTGTTTTCTATCTGCGAACCAAAGAACTGTGATTCTCTGAGTATATCTGAGGTTCCTTCTTCAGGTCGGACATATCATAATTCAATAGACTTCTGTGATTGATTGACAATGTCTGCCATAGGCAAGGAAGGAAAAAGTGGAAATACATGTACTATATATTAGCTATCTTTGGGATGTGTGGTTTTTGTTTCTCTGAGCTATACAGAAATGATACAGAGGCATGTGAGACAGTGAGGCAGGGCATGTCCCTCAGACATGTCCAACATGTCTCTCCAGGCATAAATTGTCATCAGGGGTACATCCACCGGGAAGGAAGCTCACCTCAATGATAGCTATTTCTGAATTGGCGAAGTTGACATTGAGAATCTTAGGCAGGGGAATCCCAACCTCCAGGTGCTCTGTGAAAAAAAAAATGGTTGAAGACAAAGATGGGAATGTCTCAAGAACCTGATAGTGGACAGACATTTCTCTCTATGGGAACTCAGCTTCTCATTGGCAAACTCCTACTTACCCCACCATAACATCCAAACAAAGCAAAACAAAACCTGTCTTTTATAAGTCACATTTGTGGTTCCCCTTCAGCCACACCTCCTAGAGGTATCAGTCCCTGCACCCTGTGTGATTCTTGGTTGACACGACTGCTTTCCACTGGACAACGGGCACTTAAATAGGGTCCAGGTGAGGTTAACTCTGGAAGTCCAGAGCAGAGCACAATGGTGCTGGTCATTGCTGCATGAATGGAAACACTTGCATCTCTCTGGCCTCAGGAGTCTCATTGGAGCAAGGGAAAGAGGAGCAAATCAGTCTGCAATTCAGCCATACCATTGAGCCTCTGCACGTAGGTGGCCCGGACCACATCGCTTAGCCATTCTTCTAGACGGGATGCCTGCAACAAAGGATGGTGTGGGAGGGGCTTCGTGGGAAACAAGAGGCCTGGAAGCCTCCAGCAAGCCTGAAGTAACAGTTCCTGGACTGCGCTGTCTGCACAATAACACTAAAGGAGACTCTGTTCAATGCAGGCTTAGCCTAGGATCTTAGAAAGACATTCCCTTCTGGAAGCTTCTTTGGATTAGGATGGATGTGCCTGAGAAAGAGAAAGGAAATCTGTCCAGCTCCAATAGAACTGTGTGAAGTCAAACCTTAGAATTTAGACAGTTTAGGAGCCCTCAGGACATTCTAGAATCTGAGGCTGTCCCTGAGATTTCAGAACCTCAGAAGTTTGTGAGAAACAGGAGCCTTGGGGTTCTGTGGGGCTCTAAAATGCTAGAACTTCCTGGGCTCAGTATGTTGTGTGAAGTTCCAGATCTTTGGACTTGGTGAGCCTCTAAATGTTTACAAGTGTGAGTATCCAAGACCTTGGAAGAACACAGGATTGGCTTTCCTAAAATTAGCAGTGCCGTTTGTGCACGTGCGCGCGTGTGCGCACACACACACACTCCTCATACACCTCATACACACACACACACACACACACACACACACACACATGAACACACATACATGCATGCACACATATACATAGGTGCACAGGCAAACACAAGCATGAACACTAGCACACTTCCTGTTTTTCTGTCCTGATCTGCTGGAGCTGAGTCTACACAGAGGCAGCCATGACCTTGATTCAGCCCTCACTCCCACCCAAATGCTCTGCCCTCTGCCAAGCTCCTTCTTCCCAGAGACTTACATCAAAAGGTTGGGAAAAGGAGGAGGTCAGCTGGACATTCAGCCTGGCAGAGAGAAGAGAAATATTGAGAGGTCCTAGCTGCTCCTCACTTCCTGCTGAGAGTTGTTCACCTAGCTTACCCTGGCCAACCCCAATCATGGCTTTCCAGGGCAGGAAACAGGACTCAAGCCTAGTTCATCTCTCTCCAGCCTTGGCCCAGGGTCTCTGTTTTCCTCCCTGTGAAATAGCCTAACAGGCCTTTTCACTTCCCTTCAGACCCTCCTAGGGGGCTCCCAGCTGTCTGTGTGTACCAGTGAACGTTCCCTAGCCTGACACTGCACATGGTCTCTGCATCCAGCAGGTGCTCACTAACAGCTGTGCACACCAGAACAAACCTAGACCTCCATCTTCACCTCTGGAGTGCCGTGGCATCAACTGCCACCAGGAGGCAGAGATGAGCAGGCAGCGGACCAGGTTGAGGGGAGCAGCAATGGAGCCACAGGGAAGTTGTGGGTACCAAAGCAGGGAGTGCAATACTGAGTGCTGTGACTCAGGACAGGCAAATCTCAAAGACATCTGGGAAAATCTCTACTGCTGGGACAGAGGGCAGACAGACCTCATCACAGCCATGGCACCAGCTGGAGAGGGAAGTCTATCGCTTGAGTCTAGGCTACAGTGAACTTTACAGACTATAAAGTGCTGTGCTGGGAAGTGTGTGAAAGTATGAGGATGGTCTTCTGCCTGCATCTTGGCTGTTGGGATTCTCTGGATGCCCAGTTAACACGGGGCAGGAGATAAAGAATCTAAGGAAGGAGTCTGTACGAGGCAGAAGCATCTGCCAGCGCTCCAGAGCTCTTGTCCCAGTCGTCAGCCTCAGGCTGATGGCACAGGGTGCAGTCTCCATGTCCTGGGGCAGGCTCGCTGCCAGGGTTGGTCTCCAAGCATAGGGAGCAGTAGAGGGGCTAGTTAAGGCCACCTACTCTGAGTCCTACTGCTTGATCTGCAGTGATCACCGCATCCCCTCCCTGTGGGCCCTACAGTGAGACAAATCCATTAAATACTCAGCTCAGTAATGCCCACCAAGTGACCCCTATCTTAGTCAGTTCCTGATTCTTTTGTCTAGAGGGAGTGACAAGGTCACCCTAGGGCCCCACATTACCGTTGCAGGGACAGGGTTATGTGCAGCTTGGTACTGGATGGAGCCAGCTGGG